GCAGACTGCTGTAGACATATATAAAATCACTCCTATCTCATCTTTTTTCAACTTCATTTTTAACCCCACATTTATATTCAATAGAAATCAGTTGGGGCTCATTTCAGATTGAATTTGAAAAAGCTCTTGCATCTTCGTATGGACTTTTTTCCAAAATATAACTGCCACTTTGCACACCCACCACATATGAAAGAAATTAACATTATTTTGTCTGCATTTCCAGCCGCTATTTTCATTATTATTTTTTATCTTTGCCTGTTTTTCAGGTGAGAAATGCCACCTATAGAATATTTTGTAATAGTTTTCTATTAAGTGGTCACTCTTGGTAAATTTTAATTTTTTTCTCCATACCTTTTCCCATATATTGAGTGGAACTGATTCACCAATGACCTGCATCCATTTAATCATGCATTCTTTGACTATTTCTTCTTTCAAGTTGATATCTAATAACATTTCATATAGTCTCAATATCATATGCTTTTCACCCCTTTCAAAAAGAATTTCTATATCTTTTTTCCCAGTTTCTATTCCTATTTATTTGTTGTCTTTTTAAAACCTTTCTTTTAATTAAAAATACAGCAACCACTGTATTGCTACTCCTCCCTTTTGAAGTTCTTCTAGAGTTTTAAGATTTTCCTCTTCTCCTGTTGTGTTTAGAATATCTCTATATGTAATCCAATTACCTCTATGAGATTTTTCTGTTCTATGAAAGGCTTCTTGCACTGAAATCCATCTTGGGATTTTAGTATATAGAAACTTCTTATATTTATTCCAGATTTTAAGTAGTGATTTTCTTATCATATGATTGTTAAAATTTTTGTATGTCGTCTCATTCTCATAACCAAGGTACATATGCCATCCATTTTCCAAGGTTTCTTCTTATCAAATTAAAAATAACATTAGAACACTGGTAGATATAATAGAATATTATGAACAACACAAAGAGAAAAAATTGGGCATTATTCTACCGGATTTAGAAAAAGCGTTTGATAATGCTAACTGGTTCTTTATGAAAGAAGTATTAAAACAAAGCACAATAGGTGACAATGTTCAAAATTGGATCAATGCTATCTACTCCCAGCAATACGCTCAGATAGATATTAATGGGGAAAAATCAGCTAAATACAGAATTAATAAAGGCACTCGTCAAGGGTGCCCACTTTCACCATTATTATTTATAATGATGATGGAAATTCTAATGAGGAAAATAAGAAAAGATAACCAAATTAAAGGTTTACAAATAAGAAATCAACAATTTAAAATCAAAGCATTTGCTGATGATATTGCAATCATACTAGACAACCCCAAAATAGCATTATAAAACTTGAAGGGTATGCAATATGGAAGACTTTAAAATCAATAAACAAAAAAGTGGAATCTTTATAAAGAATTTCTCCAAAAGAGAAGGATTTGGCAAGGATAACGGATTTAAGGATAGTACAAAAAACAAAATATTTGGGTATTACTATGACAAATCAAAATGCTGAGCTTTTGAAAAATAATTATTTAAAAACCTGGAATAAAATCAAAGAGGACTTGGAAAAGTGGAAATCATTACAGTTATCACTACTTGGAAGAATTGCTTTGATTCAAATGTATGTGTTGCCTAAAGTGTTATATCTGTTCCAAACCATACCTGTTATTACATCAAATACTATATTTAAAATATGGGACAGTGATATTAGAAATTTTGTTTGGAGGGGAAAAAAGCCCAGAATAAAAATAGCAATATTGCAGGATTAAAAAAAAAAAAAAAGGAGGGCTGGGTCTACCGAACCTCCAAATTTATTACAATGCTTCTGTTATTACATGGTTAAAAGACTGGATAGAACTCAAAAATGAAAGATTACTAGCATTAGAGGGAGTGAACTTGGAAAATCTTTTATTTTTCTGATATCCTGAATAACTGTGTATAGCATTTCAAGTGTGACCATAGCAAAGAATTGTGTAAAGGTACCATAACAAAGGCAGTTTTTAGAGTTTGTTTCATTTCCTAATAATCTTCAGTGTGGAATTTGATTTTGGTAGAGCAGCTGCACGTACTGAGTTGATATTTTCATTAAACTATCCATCATAACCTCAAGAGTCTTTCTATGTTAATCACAACCAGTTCAGTCCTGATCAGTGTATGGTCACATTTAGACAGGATACCAAGGAACCTAGTTTATGTTTTCCAGTGATTCCTACTTGAAATCAAGACTGCACAGAATTCTAATAGGTCCCCCTCCACTACATAACCACAAGACAGAGAAAGGCTGGGAGATAAACAAGCCAGAGTATCAGCTGCTCCTGAGTCCAGATGACTTAGAACACTGAGCAAAGCTGTATGCAGTCAGTCTGGGCTACTGTCACTGTGAGCTGAAGTTATTTGATAGTGGCAGTAGCATGAAGAGATCCTCAACCTTTATTGCTTTATTGCTAGTCAATGCTCTTTTCGCTTTAACAAAAATAAAAATAAAAAGGGGAGGGGAGGGGAGGAAAAAAGGGATGTGGCACCAGTGGCATCACTAAGGTTGGTATCATCCAATGCTGGAGTGGGGACTGCCTTGCCCTTCCTCCCCAGGTGGCTGCTTGTCCACCCAGCCACTTCTGAGAGTGGAGAGATACAGGTGGGATTCCTATGCTCATTCTTAGAGATGTCTGATCTGGCTACAGTGACACATTTCTTCTTGTTGTTGTTAATTGCCCTTGAGTTTACCCCAACTCATGGTGATCCTGTGTATGAGACATGTCCAAGATGTCTTTGCTGATTCAGTCTATCCATATAGCATGTCGTCTTCCTCCCTTTCTACTACCCTCTACCTTTCCTAGCATTATTGTCTTTTCTAATGAGTTGTGTGTTCTCATGATGGGGCCAAAGTGTGACAGCCTCAATTTGATCATCTTAGCTTTCAAAGAGATTTCAGGTTTAATTTCTTCTAGGACCCATTTGTCTGTCTTTTTGGCTATCAATGGTATTCTCAGCTCTCTTCTGCAGCACTACATCTCAAATAAGTTGCTTTTCTTCTCATCAGCTTTTTTCACTATCCAGCTACACAAACTCATTAAATATTATTTTTCAGATTAACAAGAATGACAGAGGATTAGCTAGGCTACTCAACCAAACAAGTTTCAGAAATTATAAGAAATTATAAGAAAAAGTCTATGAGAAACCAATTGCCTAAACTCTTGCCACAGCTGTTTCAATGAACCACTATTAAATCAAATGAATGAAGAGACCGAGGAGGTCGTTTATTCTATAATGTCAATATTCTCACAAACCCCTCCCCATAAACACTGAAATTGGAGCGTACTTGCCCTAGATTGCATGTTAGAACTGTTAGTGAGGAAATTCCATTTCCCCTCTTCCCCCCCACTTCAATCTGCCTTGATGTTTTCCTTATATGTTCATGTTGGAAATGTGCTATTTGGCTGTTCCCTATTTGGTTTTGATGTTCAGATCTCCACAATGGTCCAAATCAATTTGGATCTGTGCAACTCCACTGCAGAACTATGTCAGGCTAATCTAATTTAATCTAGAGCTGGTAAAAATCAGTCCAAACTGTTCCTATTTACTTGACAATTCAGATGAATAAGTTGCAAATTCCTAATTATGATTTATAAAGTACTACATAGTTTGGATTCAGGCTACCTGGAGGACTTTAGTCTCACATGAGCCTGCTGGTGTGGTTCATATAACTTTGTACTCCCAGCATCTCACCACCATCACCCAGTGTCTTCTGTTTGATGTAGCTGTCAAACTCTAACTCCCTTGCTACATCAGCATCACTGGCTCCTGGTCTGTTTTTGAGCAAAATTCAAAGTTCTAGTTCTGATCTATAGGGCCCTATTTGTTTGAGGTCCAAGCTATCTGATGGACCATCTCTCCCCATATGAACTACCCCGGGCTCTTATTTCCTCAGGAGAAGCTTTTCTCTCAGTCTCAGTACATTCATAGGCATAGTTGGTGGGGATGCAAGGTCTTCTCAATGGTTGCACCAAGGCTCTGGGATTCCCTTCCTAAGCAAGCTGGGATGGCACCATCCTTACTGTCCTTCCTTTGGCAGGGAAATACTTAAAAAAAAATCTTTTAGTCAAGCTTTTGACAGCTGCAGGCTTTTTAAAAAGCAAAAACGAAACTGAAATATACTGTACTATTTTAATTGGACTGTTTTAAAATGGCTTTTTATGACATTAAATTATATATTTTAAATTGGTTTTAAATGCTGTGACCAGTTTAATTATGTTTTAATGTTGTTCTTTTGTACATTTTAACTAGATTGCATTTTAATTTGTGAACTGTTTTTTTTGAGGAAAAGGTAGGCTATAAATGAAGTTGATGATCATGATGATGATGATAGGGCCAATTCTCTTCCCACATTATGAGTGCCAAAGAGAGATTCAAGTGGCTGCTCAGTAGCTTTTGTATATGAAATGCAAAAGGATTTTCCTCAGGCATGTCTTGGGTTGGCCCTTCCTGTTACTTTTGCTTCTGCTGATTGTCTTTGCAGATATTCACACATACCACACATCCTCAAGAAGCAGTGATTGCCTTCCCTACTTGCAAATGTCAGGTGAAAGAGAACTGTTTAGCTATACAAATGTACTTCCAGCTGGCCTGTGAACCTATAAGGTGGGTGCAATACATATCACCTTTAAATGTCTGGTGGTAGAATTCAAACAGATAGCTGTGTTAGTCTGGAAAATCAGTATGCAAAGGGATCTAGTAGCACCTTTGAGACTAACCTATGAAACTTTAGTCTCAAAGGTGCTACTAGATCCCTTTGCATACTTAATCTATGTGTGTGCTAGGAACAATTTGATGGTGAGTGGCACAGAAATATCAAAAACACATATTAGAATTATGGTTATTGTTGTGTGCCTTCAAGTCATTTCTGATGACTTGAAGGTGACCCTATTATGGGATTTTCTTGGCAATGTATGTTAAGAGGAGGTTTCCCATTGCCTTCACTTGAGACTGAGAGCATGTGACTTGCCCAAGGTCAACCAGTAGGTTTAATGGCCAAGCTAGGAATTGAAACCTGGTCTCCAGAGTTGTAGTCTAATGTCCAAACCACTATGCCATGCCGGCTCACATTATTAGAAGTATAGATTCAGAAAACAGCTACTGGGCAGCAGCAGTGGTGGTGAGTGTCACATAATGGAAGTGACACCATAGCTAACACTTGTTGGCACTGCACACAGAGAGGTGTAGGTGGCCCTCCTTGTGTAACCCTTCACCTAGAAAACCCTATGATGAGACATTCCAAGTAAGGTAGGATCAGAGAACTAACAAAGAGACAGGAAAAAATAAAGAGAGATCAATGTGAAGTCGTAGACTTTCATGGCCGGCATCCGTAGGTTTTTTGTGGTTTTTTTTCAGGCTGTGTGGCCATGTTCTTGGAAGACCCCACTTCTTGGAAGAGGAATTGAAGCACCTAGACCGGGCTCTACAGGCAAATGGTTACTGCAGCTCAGACATCAGAAGAGCTGCCAGACCCAGAAAAACCCAGAGCACTGAAGACAAGCAGCCACCAAAAGGGAAAGTATCTTTACCATATATCAAAGGAGTCACAGACAGAATTGGGAAAGTAGTGAG